CCAGAACTATGGCTTGCCCAAGGTCATCCAGCCAGGTGCAAGTGAAGGAGTGGGGAATCAAACCCGGTTCTCCCAGATTAGAGTCCGCGCACTTAACCACTACACCAAACTGCCTGAACGTTTCCTGCATCCAAGGTGTTAGGGCTGCATAGCTCCTTGATTCTTCCTCCAAATGGAATTTTCGAAATAAATTATGCACATGTACTTAACTTATGTAGATAGCAAATTTTGGTTCCTTGGCAAAAAAACAACCCAGAGGTGTAGAACTCATTTGTTATGGCAGTCGGATCTGACATGATGTCACTTTGTTGGAAGCCACTCTACCCCTGGCAGTGTGAAGGGTTGTTTAGGGAGGTGATGATACCAGCAGAATCCAGGTAGGATGAACTATCCCAGGCTGAATCTTCTCGCTTTTTCCTCAAGGCAAGATGCTGAAGACTGAATGGCACATGAAATTCTTTAGGCCGGCCTAGAAGAGTGTGCACACATTGTTGTGTTAGGTTCAGGTCTCTTCCCTAAGTTCCCCAAGGACGATTTTTCAAGGTAGAGTTGGGCTGAGGCTTTCCAGAATTGTGTAAATACACTCTTATGAGACCATGTGATGGTGGCAGCCAAGGGATGAGGACAGGTTCACGAGGGAGAGCTGGAATATAACCCACCAAATTTCAGCCTCCTCTGAGTGTAGCGGCTCCCACCTGAGTGTGACATTTTGTAGGGACAAAAGTGGCCTGTTCTTCGTTCTTCAACCACAGCGATGTGCATTGGACAGCATAGTCCCCTTGAGCACCACAGGCAGTCCGGTGCCTTCCTGAACATTGTGTGAGGCCACAGTCTATACAGTCTGGCTCCCCAAAGGATCACGTGAGGTTGGAAATGCCGTTTGAGTACGGGGATGCCTCAATAACCCTTTGTAGGGACAAAAGTGGCCTGTTCTTCGTTCTTCAACCACAGCGATGTGCATTGGACAGCATAGTCCCCTTGAGCACCACAGGCAGTCCGGTGCCTTCCTGAACATTGTGTGAGGCCACAGCCTATACAGTCTGGCTCCCCAAAGGATCACATGTGAGGTTGGAAATGCCCTGTTTGAGTACGGGGATGCCTCAATAACCCTTTTGCTGTGGCATAGACTCATTTTCCGGTATGCTTTGATCATATGGCTGTTGGAACAGTTTGTGTTGAATGCTTGCTTTACATTTTGGGGAAGGTAGGTGTGTCACTTAGAACCGAAAAAGCTGGCTGTGTGACTAGCCGCTTGGAAATTTTCGCTTTCTTTACAAAAACTAAGCCCTGAATCTTCCAGAACTCCTTACAACTGACACATACTTTCTATTTGGGAGCCATCTCCTTTATAGGCTAATTTTAATGTAGGTAAGAATTTCTAGCCCTCAGAGAACCCTGTCCCATTCACGTGTTCTAGCTCAAGCCTCTTGAAACTAGAACAAGTGCCATGTAAGTGTTGTAAGAGACCAGCCTCTCAGATGGCAATAGTTTGGGCTGCAGCAAATACAGCGGTCGTTGGTCACCCTTCCCTAGAAGCCGACCAACTACGGTAGAGGTCAGATCACTGCTACTCATGCAGAGGGACAGCAAGCAGCCTCTGCGCTGGTGGGTAATGCTAACCCTGGTCTCTACCGGCTACCATTACAGAATGCTGGCAAAAGAATGAATGCGAAGACTTGTGCATGGAGAGAGCTTCTGAACAAGTACTTATTTTTTTTAAAAAAACAGCCGCATCAAAACAACTGGGGCCGGATAATTATAGTCCAGAGGTGACCGCATCGTTACAACGGCGTTGCCATCGAAACTACAGGCAGCTCCCACCCGCCTTCAGTGGGCGGGGAAAGGCCTTTCGCATCTGCAAGTTCCGCCCTAGGGGAGGGAACGTCCAGAAGTGCCTTCAGATTGGCCGGTCGGGTTGATTGACGGAGGCGCTCGGCGCACGCGGAAAGCGGGAACTTCCGTTTCCCCACCCCGCCCGCGGAGACGTCACCACGGGAAGCGGAAATACAGCTACTCGAGTTGGCGAAGGCTAGAGCGTCGGCCTTACCCACGCCACAGAGTCAGCTCTCGGCCATTTCCCGTGTGTTCAAACCGCAACCGCTTTCCCGCCCTCCGCTTCGCACTTGAAAGAGTGCCGGTTTATACCCTCTGGAGACACGCCGCTCCAGGATCTCCCTCCCCCGCAACGGCTTTTCCATTCCTCCCGCGGCGGACGGACGTCAGCTTAACCTTTCCCAGCCGCTGCGATACATCCG